TTAATAAATAAGAGCTCTGAGCCAAAGAAGATGCTTGTCAAGCAAGAGGCTCCCCTCCGTTCACCTGGGGCATCTTGGGTAAGGATATACCAGCACTGATCAGACCTGAGAGGACCCAGGAGCACAGGTGGTGGGAAAAGGCCTTGCGCAGTGCCAGGCAAGCAGGGGTTACAGCCCAAGTGACATAAGCAATACCAGGTGTGGAGCACGAGGAATTAAGAAGCCATTGCCTGCAGCTGGTGGGTTCCATGCTGAGCCCAGCATGCACCTGCACTTGCTCCTTTCAGTCCGCAGGTACAGCGGCAAGGGCTCAGAGGTTAGGGACATGGCGAGGTTTAGTTTCTGAATAAGCAAAGTCCAGGACTGAACCCCTGATGGGGGCTCAGACTCTCTGGGAGAGAGAGAAGGCCAAAGCCCTCCTCTCAGCACAGGCTTTTCTGGGGACCCAGCCTGAAACACAAGGTTCCTAGTGACCGGACAATCGAGCCAAGCACCCTGACAACATCACAAGAAGTGGAAGGCTGGCAGGTACCCAGTTCTCCTTTTGGGAATGTGGACAAATTTTCAGCTTCTATCATGATCAGGGCCCACCTCACAGCCCTGTGGCTTCTTGCACAGAGGTGTGACTTTATGTTTACACTACTGGGGATTAAGGCTGCACTAAGCTATGTCCTCTTCTCTTCTCTTCTCTTCTCTTCTCTTCTCCCCTCCCTTCTCCCCTCCCCTCTCCTCCCCTCCCCCCCCCCTCTTTCTTTCTTTCTTTCTTTCTTTCTTTCTTTCTTTCTTTCGTTCGTTCTTTCTTAGCAGGATGTTGCTAAGCCACTAAGGAGCCCAGGCTGGGCTCCAACTCACAATCCTCCTGCCTTAGCCTCCCAAAGTGCTGGAATGACAGGCGTTGCCACCGCCCCCAGCTTCACCCCAGGTTTAGTCCAGGGCAACTCACTGGAGACAAGGAATCAAATTCCTCAAAATCCTGTTCCACGCTGAGGCCTGAGATATTTCACTCTCAGTGGTGCGAACACCATGGGGGTGTGCAGAGGCACCCTGGGACGCGGAGGAGAAGGCAGCACAGGGCCCGGGAAACAGCGGCTGGACCGGGCTGGACATGAGGCTGGACAAGAGGCTTGCAACCATCTTCCCTGTAAGGCACACAGTGGCCCCTCACTGGGCCTGAGTATCTCTGTCTTACCAGTGGCTGTAAATGCCGTTAAACAAAAGACTGGAGAGCTGGTATGACAGTGCCTACCGGTCATCTCAGCACTCTGGGAGGTGGAAGTAGGAGGATCATTAAACTGGAACCCAGCCTGGTAAATTAGCAAGACCCTGTCTCAAAAATTTTTTTAAAAAAGTAAAAATGGCTGGGGAAGTTAACTCAAAGCAAAGGCCCTTGGTTCAATCCCTGGTAGAAAAAAAAAACCATAATGGAGGAGGATGTGGCCCCGTGCTGAGCCCCTGCAGAGCGGAAAAGGCTGTCGGGAAGAGCAGCCTCATTGCTCACAACCCAGGAGCCTTGGAAACGGTGCCTGGCAACCGGTGTCCCTCAACCAGCGCCCAGTGTGCCCACCAAGCTCATGCAAGCTCATGAGCAGCCTGGTTTACACCAAACCTGCCTTCCAGGATGCTCCTGTCACCAGCTCAGAGATGGTGACTGTCCAGAGTAGGCCACAGACCAGAAATAGAGTCCAGGACCAGATCAAAGCCCACTGCCCACTCAACACAGAGGTAGAGGGAGACATGTGTGGAGCCAGATGTGAGCCTGGATGTGGCAGGGTGTGGAGTGAGCCTGGAGGGCGCTGGCCTGGCCTGCACACTGGGTGGAGCTGGAGACCCTCTGCACTCCAGGGCCACCTCACGGACAAAAGACTCAAAAGGCTCCTTTGGGGGAGCAACCTCTGGATAAGGGAGGAAGGGGTTCAGTTCACATCAGAGGTCCTGACAGGAAGACCCCAAGTAAGGGAGAGGGTCACAAACACACACTCCAGCTTCTCCGATTCGGATTGTTATTTACCCCACATTTTCAATGTTAGGAGAGAAGGTTGCTGGCTCTGTGGACCATGTCCCATGAGATCTGAGAACCTGACCCCTGGCTGCACATTTTCCTTCTCAGTAACCACAGGCCTAGTACACCTGCCTGTCATCCCAGCACTCTAGGAGGCTGAGGCAGGAGGATCAAAAGATGCAGCTCAGCTCATGCATCTTAGTGAGACCCTGTCTCAAAAATAAAAATACAAAAGAGGGCTGAGGACATAACTTGGTCAGTGAAAAGGCCCTGGGTTCAATCCCTAGTACAAAGACAGACAGACAGACAGACAGAAGAAACAGAGTAAGATTTGATATGGCAGAAAGCACAGAGGGCAAAATAATGTTAAGTGAGAAACACAGAAGTTTCGCATTCAGAATTAAGACAACAATAAGGAAAGAAACCAACAAGAAGAAAAAACAGCTTCGAGGCACTATTTACCTTCATAGCCACTTGACAGTTGTATGGGAAAAAAAATACCTATAAGTTACAGAAAAAAAAATACCTATAAGTTCAGCAGGTCCTGGAAGTGACCTTGGTCAGAGCCACAGGGACAGAGACACTGGTCCCTTCTGGCCTGGCTAGTGATACTGCCCAAGGTCTCCTCCAAAGGTCCCCAGGGCTGTGATGGGTGTCTGGAGGACCCTACATGCTCTTAGCTGCATAATGGGGGATGCAGGGCTCCCAGAAAGCCCCTGTCATTTTCTTTTCCACCTATAAACGCTCTTCAGGATTAAAAAATTTCTGCTCCGGTTCCACGCCCACATCGGACACTGCCCGCCCTGCAGTCCCCTCTGGGGAGGCTTCTGCCCTTCCACACTGAGATCCAACGCCAGGTGCACAGCAGTGAGCGGATCCACCAGCTCCTGTGTTCCCCTGGGCCCTGGGACATGCAGATAGGGAGGGTGACCCTCCCCTAAACACAGAGGTGCCCGCAAGAGAGCAGAGTGGACTCGGGGTGCTACCCCCTCCTTCAGGCAAACGAGTTTCTTGGGGCGACCCGGTGGAGAAGCCCACCTGACTCCAGCCCTTTCTTGGCTGTGACTCTGACTTCATCTCTCTGCGATTCCGAGAGCCCCAGCTGTAAGCAGGACGGGGTCACATCGCGCACGGCAACTTCCAGAGAGAGTTCAGTCAGCCCAACTTAATTTGGGAAGAAGTCAGCACACAGTGGCTGTTATTTTTTGTAGGTGAAGCCATGAAAATCTCCCAGAAAGCTGGGACACAGGAAAGCCCTTTTTCATATTCTGCTGGGGCTCTATATCTATCCTTATGTGTATCTGCATCTGAATCCATATGTGTGTTATGTAAGTCTGTATCACCTATATCATCTAACTCTCTCCATATACATCATTATCTACATCATCTCTATCACCTCTGTCTCTATCCATCTATCTCTGCATCTGTCTTCCAGATGAGACTGCTCCTGCAGTCCTGTAACATGAATTCAGACCTAGGATGACAGGCAGATGAAAGGGGCTGGGCACAGGCCCAGGTCACACAGGTTGTTTAAGGAAAAACCATACCCAGGACTCGGATCTTTAGGTTGTGAGGGTTGAGGCAGCTGAACTGCAGAACAAAAACGGCCAGGGCTGCCCCACGTGATGCTCTCAGTCAAAGCCCAGGGGATGAGCAAACAGCTATCCCCCAGTGCATAAAATACAGGGAAACAAGTGACCTCTTCAGGATCCGAAGCCCAGGAGGCCTCTGCATTTTGTGCATGCGTGTGGCTTATGAAAGCCCACAGAATGACTCCAGTGGGATCAAGTGACAGGCAGCCTCCTCTGCCAATCCTAAATGTTTGCCAAACTTTAACTTTCCAAGCAGTTCAAACCCTGGAGAGGGAGGAGCAGGGGGAGGAGGAAGGAGGAAAAAGAGAGGAAGAGGAGGAGGAGGAGGAAGACCACGCCCCACTGGGTGACTCCTCCTCTCGGATGACTCTGGAGCTCTATAAACAATAACTTAAAGACAGCCTGGGTCACTAGGCTAGACAGCAACCTAGTTGGATAGCACAAAGGTGCAAACCCACAGATGGCACTGCCCAAGTGAACAAATGCAAAGCATGGCCCATCCACCCCGTCTATCCATCCGTCTATCTGTCTGTCCACAGATGCTCCAAGCCAGGCCCCCGAGCCGTGGGAAGCTGAAGCCTTACTTTGGGGGCTGCTTCCTGGGCAGGGATGAGAGGGGTCAGGGCCCTACAAGAAGCCAGGACATCGGCTACATAAGCCACGAGCAGCCTCTTGACCCATCCTGAGGGTACACAGAGCCTCGGAGCCCCCCGTACAAACTCGTCCCCACCTCTTCCTGAAAAAGCACATTCTTCACAAGACAACATGGTGGTACCTGGAACCCACACCCTGTGAGGTTTAGGGATGCCGAGGCCACCTGTGGGGTGGGTCTCCACCACCTTGCTGCAGCAAGCTCTTCCTCCAGGCCTCGGATCCATAGAGGTCTCCCCTACATCCTCTAAACCCTTCGAGACCTAGTTAGGATGACAGCCCTCCAGGCACATACCCAGGGCAAGCAGGATCCATATCCTCTTCTAAGTGGAGTCTGGGACAGTTTTTCATTTGTTGGTTTGTTTGTTTGGAACAAGGACTCACTATGTAACCCAGGCTAGCCTCAAACTTGCGGCGATCCTCCTGCCTCAGCCTCCCAAGTGCTGGGATGACAGGCCTGCACCACCATGCCCTGCTGTGACCCTTCTTTTATATTCACAAATACATGGTGTTCAGGACCTAGCTACCGAAGGAGGGAGTGAATCCTAAGCAGCTGATTCTACGCACTAAGTTTCCTGATGGTGCAGAACTTTCAAAATCCTGCTGAGGGTGACATGAAAAATGCCACATGGCTTTGCAGCCACCAAACCACACACACACTCCCTCAGGTCCCTCAGGCTCTGGGAATTGGGCGATGCCTCTCAGTTGGCTGCAAGCCGCCATGGGCAGCACAGCCACAGGACAAGACTGAGCCTCACCTCTCTTCGTCCTTGAAGATGAACTTCCTCAGCTTGAGGTCACGCAGCACCAGCCCGCCATCGTGGCAGTGCGCCACTGCCGAGGCGATCTGGTAGAACAGCCTGGCGGCCTCCTCCTCCCTCAGCTTCTTGCAGGTGCGCACGAAAGAGTGCATGTCCCCATAGCTCCGCTCAAAGAACACGTAGGCTTTGGTCTCTCCCAGGAGGATCTCGGTGATCTGGTTGATGTTGCTGTGCGCGGACAGGCAGAAGCATGGGGCCAGGGACTCCTGGTAGCAGCTGATCTCAAACACCTAGGACGGATCACCAAGACTGGGGTCAACAGTGCCACTCACGCAAGCGGAAGCAGATCCGCCACCTGCAGTGCTAACTAAGCTTGGACCGGGCCACCCCTCGCCGTCTGATATGAGTTGCTCTGCACTGAAGCAGTCACTTCCCTGGGCCTCCAAGGGCTCCGGTGTAAAACAGACAAATGACACTTCACCTACAGCGTTGGGAGGAGTCTGGGAGAAAATGAAAATAAATACAGTATATAAACGGTGAAATTATTTTTCTTTTTTGGAATACTGGGGATTGAACCCAGGTCCTCCACACTGAGATACATCCCTAGTCTCCTTCTCCTTTATTAAAAAAAAAAAAAAAAAAAAAAAAGAAAGAAAGAAAATTGACACATGGTCTCGCTAAGTTGCCCATCTTGGGCTCCAACATGGGATTCTCCTGCCTCAGCCTCCCAGAATGCCGGAATGACTGGTAGCACCCTCAGCATCTGGCTTATAGTCTCTTATGCTAGGCCATTCACCTTTGTTTACAGAAGGCAAAAGCAGAAAGCAATGTACCCCAGCAATCTAGAAAACACTTCTAACTTCAAAAGCCAACAAAAAAGACAGAACAAAAATACACATTAATAAGCACTCCACATTAGCAGTTAATTCTGTAAATAAACATCTAGACTTTGCCTAATAGTTTCCTAAGTTGGTTGTTTGCTTGGTTTTTTTGTTTGTTTGTTTGTTTGTTTTGGGTTTTTTTTTTTTGTTGTTGTTGTTGTTGTTTTGGTTTTTTTTTTGTTTTGTTTTTTTCAGAAACAGCATCTCACTGTCTGGTTGAGGCTGAACTTGTACTCACTATGTATCTCAAGCTGAAAGTGAATTGTAATCACCCTCCCGCCTCAACTTCCCAAGTGCTGGGAAGACAGGCATGCACAATCACGCCTGGTGTCATTTACTAAATTCAGTCCATGTTTCACAGACATGGAAACTGAGGCTCAGGAAGCAGACGGGAAACTCCTGCCGCTAGTGGCAGAGCTGGGTATCAGGCAGGACCTTTGTCAATGAGGAAGCGGCTGGCTTCTTCCCTATGCAGCCATATGACTCAATGAACCAGTTATGCAATGACTTTTTTATGAATCAGAATTAGCCTGCAAAATGCCACCTCACTGTTGCTTAAGAAAACGAAGAACCGCGGAGACCTTTGAAGCAGACCAAACAGAAACGCACACTGCAGAGATTCCCCGAGATTACAAAGGAAAGCTTTCATTCCTTTTAGGACTTGGACTCCGTCAGAAATCCTGGTACTGGTGCCTGGACACGGAATGTGGTTTTCCTGGCTTGGGGAATGTGGGTGAGGGTTTACCAGAGTGGTCAGCACAGGGGCAGGGGCAGGGAGCACCCCTGAACGGCACCAGTGTGCACCACAAACCCCCTAGAACAGGCTGCTTTGTCTACTTCTGCTTATCAGTTTGCAGACACTGAGCATGTTCTCGAGGTACCAGAGATCAAATCCAGGGGGGGCTCTAACACTGCCCTACACCCTCAGGTCTACACAGATAAGGCTTGGCTACACAGCCCAAGTTGGACTTAAATTTGCAATCCTCCTGCCTCAGCCTCCCTGTAGCACCATCCACACCAGGCACCACTGCATTCTCAAATCATTTTTTGTTGTTGTTCCGGTTCATTATTTTGCAACACAGAGGGAGCAAGTGCTAGATTAAAACCCACCAGCCCAGATGCTCTTATCCTGACTGGTCTTCCTCTAAGCAGGGTGGGATGGGTGAAAGTGCAGGGTCGTGGGACTGCCCTTCTTTATCAAGGGACACACAAAGACACTCATGACCTTTCCCTGCTGCACCTCTCCCAAGAACCTGATGAATTACAGGTATTGGGGCCCCTGCCGGCACCACCCACTGCCCAGTGCCTGCACCACCAGGGAACCCTTGGGGACCACAGGGCTTCTGAAGCTCACACAGGGACCACAGGGACACTGGCTGCCATTTAAGAAACAACGAATGCATTACAAAAAACAAAAAAAATCTGTCAGTCAAACAGAAACAATAAGCACCTCAAGGTGCTAACTCGGTCCCAGGATGCAAACTTAACAGTGAGGCTGTGAATGAACCGTAATCATGAGGCATCTCCGTAATCATGAGGCATCTCCGGAAGCAGCCCGCCTGCTGCCACTACACCCTGGAATTTAAGAATGAACCCGTCAGCCTCTCCAGAGACCGCAAATCACACCCTGATCCTAGCAGAGGGTGACTCGGAGTGGCGGCCTCAGATGCTCCCTCAGTTAGGAATCTCGGACACCCTCATAAACTTACACACCCGGCCTGGGAAGCCTGGGTGATGGAACAGAGGAACAAGCGCTGGGTTGTGGTAAAGTCAGTACGCGCCATGGCATTATAGAGAAGCACAATCTCTCTGCAAGAGCCAGAGCCAGGCTTTGGATTCTTGTCGCCTGGATCCAGAGTTAGAGTATTTATAAAATACTTCCTGTTTCCAGATGTATTCCTTTTAAAAAAAAATTCCTCTTTTTTTTTTTTTTTTTTTGCCTTGGCAGTGTTAGCCTAGTATCTAGCCCTCTCGCTGAAAAACTGAATGAATACAAAATTTTTAAAAAGGGCAAACACAGCATAGCAGCCTCAAAACGCACTCAGACCCCTATGTAGAAGAGAACAAATTCCAAGATGGTGGCCAGAACAATGAAAAATTTAAAAAAATAAAAGAAGAACTTATGTTTTCCCAAATGGGAAGGAGCCAAACTTTTTATTAGTAACTGTAACCGGCATTTATGGGCTTGGGTTGGTATTTAAAGCATCACTTTCAAGTGCAAAAATCCAGCCAGAAGCCTGGCTGCCAGCTCACTTCAAATGTTTCCTTTGCAGCCTCAGTTATATAATGTGACAGTTCAGATAAGGCCAGCAGAGCAGGCCACCATTAACAACGTTTTGCAAAAGAAAGTTTCTGCCAGGAGAGTGATGATGTCAGTGGGAAGGGAGCTCCCTGCGTTTCTGTGAAAAGGACATGGGCAGGCCAAGGCAACCTGAAAGCTCCCAGGTGATCTTTCACCCCATAGGCATGGGGACAACATAAACCCGACTGCTTTGTTTACATGTCCTGGGGGAAGCTCTTCTCCCCCTCCATGAGCATCCAACAGAGTAAACAGCATCTTTACATTGGATCTGTTTCTGCAGACTTTTGTTTTTCCTCTGGGGTCAGCACAGAGCTAGGAAACCTGAGCCCTACACCCTGAGACATCAAAAAGGAACTTGATTCAATGTGAAGATTTCACTTAGACCTGCAGGACAGCTAGGAGCTTGCTGTTTCTCATGGTAATCCACAGAAGCTGCTTTATTAAAAGCACTTGGGGCTTCCTAGGATACCCACAGCCATGACTGCAGAAGTCACCCCCAGCACCTTCAGTAAAGAGGCAGGAGAAACAGAAGCTGCTGCGTCTCACAGGGGTGACCTCTGTCAAGCAGAACAATGATACTGCACTTAAATTCACTGGCAGCCACACTATAATCAGTGAGGGGCTGATTCAATCTTGGCAGTAACTAAACCGGCAGATGAAGTGCAGCTTTAGGCCAGAGATCGAGCCTGCAAATGCCACGGGAAGGCTGGCCTGCAGTGAAATATGCCTAGAAGGGTCTGAAGGCAGAAAGAAAGAGCACAGGCCTGAATCAACTCTGATTTGCTAAACAAAGAAATAACAGCAAGGTGCTCCTGCAGACTTGGACGCCCCCCGCAGCCCCCACTTAACAGCACCTCTGGCTTTTGAAAATCGCTAAAATGCTATACATGCAGGTTGAGTCAAAGAGGAGAGGAGACACTCAGGGTTGGGTGAATGTGCATTTGTTATATACTGTGGAATTCATTCATTTCAAAGGATGACTACCCCACTGTGCAACCTCACAGGACTCCTGAGAATCCCTTCCAGTTCTGAGTCGCCTACTGAATTTTCCTCCCTGGGCACAGTGGCTCTGATGCTCACTAACATGGAAAAGATGCCAACTACCAAATGCTCTCAACCAACAGCAAGGAGCGGTGTTGGGAGTCTCTTGACTTTTTCCCTAAGGTCTACAAGGTACAATCACACAACAGATGCAAAATCTTCACCAACTTCATTTTTTTTTTTTGCAATGAGACACTCCAGTCCAGAATGAAAGATAAGGCTATTCCACAAAGCATTCTGTGATTAATGGAAAAACGGGACAGCCATTCATTTCAAGGTTAGCATGGACCCTCGGACACCCACCCAAAAGGCTACAACACTGAGCAAATCTAAAATTAAAAGCTTATGCATTCTTGGTCTACATCCAATCCCAGGTAGTAAATGTTTTCCTGTTTAAAGTCATTTTTTTTAAAAAAAACTATTCTCCTCCTGACCCCCTTGTCTAATACCCCCAGAGCCACACAAAGACAGAGACGCACGCCAGTCCCTTTTGAGGGTCACAACCAGGAAACCCAAATGTTCACCTCGGCATTAGCATGTAAATCCAGGGGTCCCCCGAAAATGCTGGCCTCTATCCCATGGAGGAGGTGTGAGCGAGGGGGAGGAGCCGGGATGAAGGGAGGCAGCAGACAAGCGAAGCCTGAGGGAAGAAGACCCAAAAGATTCCAGTCTCCTAAGGGGGCTAGGATGGCCAGCCAACCCTCCTCTGCAGGGAGCCACCAGGAAGAAAAGAGAAAAAAGAAAATAAGAGAGAGAGAGCCTAAGAAAAGAAGGAAGAAAGGGGAAGGGAAGGAAGTCTCTCCTGACCAGCCACCCTGGCTCCCCCATTGGAGACACCTCCGTGGGTGTTTCTTAGAGGGCACTGTGTGAAAAACGTTCAACACCTGCATGCTGCTAACAAAGGCTACAGAAGAAACCCAGTCCTCGGGGTCTTCAGAGCAACCAGGGATTCCCTTGGTCTGCGTGGGGAGGGAGGACTCTTAACACGCCGAGAAGATTCCCGTGGGTGGCGGGACCAGACCGCGTGCCCTCGAGTTGCTCAGCTCTGCAGAGCACGCGTGTCCTCGTCCTCACGCGCCGGGCTGTCCCCAAAGCCGCCCCCGCTGCAGCCCGCCCCATTGTCTGAGACGCTCAAAAAACTTCGCAACTCTCCCCACACAGACGCAGAAAAAGAAATACACCACTCTGCCAGGGTGATCCAGACCCGCCCCAGGCGCCGGGGCTCCTGCGACCGACCCCCGGCCCCTTTGCAAAGCAAGGAGGATCTTTCTCCGGATTTAAAAAAAAAAAAAAGCAGCCCCTCCCGCCGTGCCTCCCCCCGGGGTGGGTGTGGGGTCCTCACCTTGCACACCAGCTCCTCTCCACTGTGTAAATGCACCGCACGGAAAACGTGGTCCCCCTCCAGAGGTTCCAACAATAAGTACTTCCCGATGGAAGACACGCAATGCGACAAGTTCGGAGTCTCAGGCGGGCTCGGAGAGCCAAGGTTCGGGCTGAAACTCGGGCTGGGTTCGGCGGACCTTATAGACGACAACTCTTCGAAATCCTGGGTTTTGTTTCGCGATCGCCCATATCTCGCTATTGTGATGGGGGTGGACCTGTGTATGTTCATGGGTGTGGGGATCGCACACGACCAACACACACACACGCGCGCGCGCACACACACACACACACCCGGCTGGAGAGAGGAGTCGCGGGCGAGCGCTGCAGGCTGCAGGAGCCTCCTGGATGCGGTGTTAGCAGAAGCGAGGGAAGGGCGCAGGCGAGGGACGACGCGGGGAGAGAGTCTGAAGCCCCCGGTGGGCGCCGCTGGCACCCCGTCTGCTGCGCGCCCCGGCTCCCAGGAGTGCTCGGTGCGCAGCCTACTCGGGTCCTTTTGTTATCCAAAATGTGCAGAATCGCCACGCTCTTCGTTTCTCTCTCCCTCTTTTTTCCAACGTGGATTTAGATGGGAAATAAAATGCGGAGCTGCCGGGCCCAATTCCCCAAAGCGATCTTTGAGCGGCTTTCCGGTGCGCAGAGAATCCTTAGTAGTTTTGTGCAATTTTCCAGGCGCACACGGCAGTGGCTCAGTCTGCATGCGTTAGAAACCAAACAAAAAAGAAAAAAAAGGAAAAGGAAAGAAATTAAGCGCGGGTCTACCGGCTCTCGCGACGCAAGGCAGCCAGAATCCGCGCTGCACCCCCTTTTTTGGGTGGAAAGGGTGGGGGGCGTGGAAGGGAGGGGGTGGCTGCCGCTGGAGAGGGCAGTTACCTACTATTCAACTGTAGATGGCGTCTGAGGCTTTTCCAAGATCGCAAGAGCGCTCCAAAAAAAAAAAAAAAAAAAAAAAAAGGAAAGAAAAGAAAGAAGAAGAAAAAAAAAAAAAAAAAACATGAAACAAACACACACAAAAAGAAAAATAGCGAAAGAGCATTTAACTTGGAGCAGTCAGAGCTGCCAACAAAAGATTGTAGCTGGCCGGGCGCGGAGCGGCGCGCCGGGTGCAGTGGGGACGACCACAAAGCGCAGGCGAGCGCGCAGCGGCCGCGTCCTCCAGGAGCGCAGAGCCGGGAACTGAGGCTCCCGATCGTCCCGGCCCGAGCTCGGGGTCCTGGGGAGCAAAGAGAGGATGCTGCCCCGACTCGCGCGGCTCCGTCCGCTGGAGAATCGGGGTCTCGTCTGGAATAATTTGCAAACACTCCGTCTTCCCCTTTGTACCCCGAACCCACACTGCCCGGCGGTGGAGTTCGCTTTTTTTATTCTTTTTTTTTTTTTTTTTTTTTTTTTTTTTTTTTTTTTTTTGATGTGTGTGTCTCTCTTTGGAGAAAATTGATGGCTTGATGTCTTTTCTTTTCCTTCTTTTTCCTTTCTTTCTTTCTTTCTTTCTTTCTTTCTTTCTTTCTTTCTTTCTGTTTTTTTTTTTTTTTTCTTTCTTCTTTGCCACCCGGCAGTAGGCGAGGGCTGTGTTTAAAAATCACAGCGGGTGGCCGACGGTGCCCGAGGCCCAGCCCGGCGCTCTGCACGCCCGCATCCCCGACCCCGCGGTATTAATCGTCACTTACGTGGCCGGGGATCTCGGAGCGAGCCGGCCAGGGGTACGCGCAGGAGTGCGCGCGCTCGGCTCCCCATTCACTGTCACCGGCTCTTTCCTTGCCTGCGCCCCGCCCCCGGCGCGCCCGCACTGGCTCCTCCCTGAGCCTGCCCCGCCCCTGTCCGGCACGCTACCCTCTCATTGAGCCGTGCGCCCGTCAATCAGCGTCGGACTGCCAGTCTCTGGCGACCCCCGCGCCTCCCCGCGGAGCCCTGCCGGGGGCGCTGGCGCGGCTGCTCCCTTCTTTTATTGCTTCCCCGCCCTCCCCCTCGCCTTGCCCTGACGGGCGAGGTAAACAAAGTGCAATATATCCTTCCGCGCTCGGCCACTCTATGATAGCCGGACTAGGAGCTCCTGGGCAGGGACACTGTGTCCCCAAACAGCCCAGATGGCTTCAGCTCTGCTGCTTCCTTGGGACCCAGTTCCTGCTCTTGCACTTTCGCCGGAACCGACCTCTATGCGGCGCGGAACCTCAGCTCGGGGTCTGCAGAACGCGCGCGCACGCTCAGGCCGCCGTGGACCTGGAACCGTGCATCCGTCCTTCTGTCCTCTGTCCTCTGCTCTCACCAGCGCTTCTCATTTAAGCAGGACCCTTATTGCAGGCTCTGCTGGTGTCACCCGCTCGCGTTCTTGCCCCTAGCTCTGACCGTTTCCAATACCTTGACTCCGCCGACCTCATTGAATCAGCAGTTCTCCTTTAGAGGACTTGCAAGTCCTGGGCTTGGAGGGAGCTTTACACCCTCGCCTCCGAGAAGCAGCTGTGGCCCCCGCCAGGGTTCCCCGGGGCTCCCTCACCGCAGCACGTGCATTCAGCGCTGGGGTTAGCAGAAAGGTTGCGATTTCAATCCCGGATCATTCTTAATTTGGGGGTGGGGGGACCCGGAGCACTGGCTGGGGCAGGAACACGGGGTAAGGGACACTGTCTTCCCTAATGCACCCTGATGAAAGAGAAGCAAAGTGTCAGGGGCAAACAACTTTTACCAGAGGTAGGAAGGGGGCAGGGTCAGACCTGGGAGTGGGTTGCAGAGGGGCTCTGGGAGCCGGTGAGGGCCACAGCATTCATTGTCTGCCGCAGCGCGCGTGGGAATGAAGAGAACTGCTTCTAACTGTGCCCACCTGGGACAACAGGCACCCCTTGGCATTGAGAGTTTCCGGAGGTTGGCCAGAGATGAGAGGGGACGCTGCTGATACAGGTGGCCGCTCTAGAGCAGAATTTGAAAAGAAGATTCGTATCTCTTCCTGCCTCTGTCTGGGCCCCAATCGCTGATCTCCGGGGATCCACCGACTCTCTTAGACTGTTACTCCAACCACAAACTGAGCAGGCTCCTTTGATCCGGTTTTATCCCATGAAGACAGAGGCCAGAGTCAGAAACAGCCCTGGGCGAGCTCTCCAGATGAGTCGCAAAGCAAAGTGCCCGGTTGCTCTGTGGGTGGCCTCCAACCATCTGGGTCCTCCCTGGGCTTTGGGGAGACCTGTTGTCCAGCGCTGGCCTCTTATTTCAAATGGAAAATCAGTCTAGACATATTTTCTTTTCTCTGCCTGGGCCCCTGTTTGTTCATCTGTAAAATGAGAAGCATAACACAGCCCTGCTCACATCACATGACAGTTTCCTGCTGTTCCAGGAAATCTATGGGGGCTCACTCTAAACTGCTCCCTATGCGGGGAGTTAAGGACCCAAACACTAGTACAGCTTGGTCTGTGCCACCCAAGAGCTCAGAATCTAGCCCTAGAGAAAGACTGAGAAACAAATAATTTCATTATGCAACCATGTGGCACAATATCAGGTTCTCCAGGGAGCACAGAGCAGAAAGACTTTTCCTGGACTTCAAGAGAGTTTTCCCAGAAAATGTGGGGGTTTTTTAATCTTGAATTAATCCAGAGCAAATATTTATTGAAACCTACTATGTGCCAGACCCTGGATATGGAGACATAACTATTTAGAAGATGTATTTCATTTCTTTGTGGACTTTGAAATAGTTCTGAGTCACAAGATGAAATGCAGAAGAGATGGATGTTGGCATTTCAGGCAGAAAGGAATGTGCAAAAACAAAGGAGTGGGATGTCCTGAAATTTCTAGTAACTCACCACGCTCTAGGATTGGTGGCTGGGCAGCCCTAGTCAAGCATGTGGCCCAGAAATTGAATTGGGATTGGACTGGGAAGGGACTAGGAGAGCTGATACATATAGCAGAAGACCATGATCTCAAGTTAGACAAGTTGACTCAATATTGACCTTGCACTGGGAAGCTGTAGGAGCTGAATTGGGGTTCTGGGAAGACTGCTGGAAGAGAGTTAATTCCACAAGCTGGCCCAGGAAAAAACACCCCATCACTTGAACAGAACAAGCAAGGCACACGTGTAACGCTGAGTGATTTGGGACTGATGGTACCCATCAGTAATAGTGAATTTATTACTTTTCATGAATTTATTCAGCAGCTGTTGCCCTGCCTCTTTTTAAAGGCCAACTTCATGGCTGAATTCCATATTTGTTGACCAAATTCAAGACGCTATTGGAGTGCAGAATAAATGAGATAAGTTATATTGAGGAACTTGACCATTTGTTAAGCTTGCTAACTCAATAGCTCAAGGGATGAGGCCTTTGAATTACTTTGGAAAGCAATTTAAAAAATTGTAGTAAGCAAAACGGTGGAAATCTTCATTTATGGAACTTTTAGCCATGTTATGTTGGATGAGTTTAGAATAACTTAATCTATAAAATAGAGTTATGATCTAAATTTCATCAATGCATGAAAATTATGGTAGATGTATTGGACATCCTAGCAACTAAATTGTCATTATTAATATTATTATTATTATTGGCATACATCCACAGAAAGCAACCCAGCATGAGATAATAAAAATAATAGTAGGTAAAATGTTTATAGCATTAATAAGACATATGGGAGTTGTTAAATATACAGTTACAGGAATGGTTAAATACAATATATGGTTATGAAAAAATATGTGGCAATTAAAATAATGATTATATAATTTTTAAAGGATACATTTTAATGAGTCTACTCCATAGTAAAAAGTTCAAGTCCAGTTGTCTAACACCAGTGGCAAGTAATGTGTGCTTTCTGGGACTTCCTCAATAGTGAGATGTGTTTAACTACAGCTCCTCTCCCTTCAGGGCCCTTAGTTAACTGATTTAGCAAATACAGTGGATCTTTGCTGCATGTGAAGCCCTAAGCTAAGTACTATGTTCACTGAGCAAATAAATATTTTTCTGAGTAATGCACCCAAAACCAGTATTTCACTTTAAGTATAACATCTACCGCGGGCAGAGACACGTGCCTGTCATAACTCTTTTAAAAAATCATCTCTAAGATCAAAAATCTCTGACAAACTTCCAGGATGTGCAGCGGAGAGCACCAGCTGAGTGGATGTATTGACAATGTCCCGTCTGACTGCAGCATAGATCATTCCCATCAACATCTGGCTGAATGAGACCTTCGCATAGTATAAAGTGCAGCCCTCTGAGCTCACAGGGTCACTGCTGCAAGATCTCCTACACTGGGAAACTGCCAGGCACAAATTCGTTCCTTACATTTCTAGGACCCTGACAAGTCTAGAATCAAGGCCCCAGATTGGATGCGATGTGAGGGCTATGTTCTGGGCTCTCGCTAGGGCCCTGACACTGGACAGGAGGCAGGCATCTTGGTGGCTAATCCTATACAGAAGGATTCTACTGTCATGATGAACCGCCCCTACCCTAAGACGCTGACCCTGGGATTAGACCCTCAGCATCTGAATTCCAGGGTCAGGGGATGGTATGCAGACCATAGTGACCATACATGGATCTGACGTGGACCCTCGAGGCATAATGCATTGGCTGGGATTCAAGAACTTCTCAACAAGTTCAAGACTAAGGTCTTCTCAGTTACCCACCCACCAGGCGCTCTCCACTCCTGGTTTTCCCTCTGTTCTGAGCCTCCTCCAGGTGTGGCGGCTCCGTTCTGAATACTTCCTGCCAGCTTCCCTTCCCCTAGCTGTGTCCCCTTGATTCAAGGTCTGGGGAAGAGTAAGCCCAGCTTCATGCCTGCAGCCTCTGGGTTCCACGTGATCCTGTGCATTGCACATGTCAGAATGTGGAGGTAAATGTAGGGCAGTGATTACCCAGGCCTATAACTTGCTGCAGGGCCCTATTGACTACATTAGCCCATTCAAATGGCTCCATCACTTTAAATATCTTCTCCACCTTTAGTCCTAGATGTATTTTAATTATATATTTTCAGTGCCAACTCCATCCACATCTTTCTCTTTGGTTTCTATAGAACACTTCAAATTATTATCCCCACTTTAGATGAAAACCAGGGATGCAAGAGATGAATTAATTTATTTCACAGTAGCCCACCCTTCATGGTCTTGGAAATTGCATCTATGTGAGCCTGTGTGTTTGAGTGTGTGTGTGTGTGTGTGTGTATGTGTGTGTGTGTGTGTGTGTGTGTTTAGAGTCTGTGCTGAGCAGATAGGAGCTAGGGGAATGAGTTTACCCTGAAACTATGATTTCTTGTTATATCACATTACATATCAGACTTTCTAGAACTGACTAAGCCTTTGGTTTGAACGGCCCTCCCCACCTCCTCCCATAACGGTGATTTCCTTTCTCATTTTCTGGGTGTTTTTTTTTTTTTTAAACAGTTCATAGTCAGTAAACACTTTTAATTTACAAAATGATTCCTACTAGTTTCTGGGAAAAAGAACAACCCAAGTGTTAGGGGTCAAATGTGCTGAGTTCGTGGTCTCACAGCACAGAAAAGTAAGCTAAGAACTAAAAGAGGAATTTAGGAGAATTTCATTGGAAAAAAGAGAGAGAGCTCCTGGTCTTTCAGGAGGGGACCCGAGTGAATGCCACCAGGGCCAGGGGATTATTTTATACAGCAAAGGTGCAATTTGGATACAATGTGGGTCAGACTACAGCAACCCTATAGGATTACAATGACAGTGGCTTAGCTAATATCGATCCAAAAGGGAACTGAGTCATATGACAAGAGAGTATGGAAAGAACAGAGGCATTCTTGGGAAGGGTTGGGTTCAGCTGTTTGGCTCACCCACCTCTGCATCCGATGCCTG